TTACAGACTGATAATTTACAAAAGAGAAAGACTACCAATTTTAGTTAACAGAACTCCCCTTTTAAAAATCAAGCTTTTTATAAAAAGGGGAAGAAAACAGTGAGTATGTTCGGTACACGATGTGACAAATTTATATACCTCAGACCTCAGCACATTCCCTCATGCCCAGAGACAAATACATCCATTATATAAATTTGATTATATCCATTCCTCCTCCTGCCAGCAGTAATCCAGTCCTCGTTATCTTCTCTTCCCCTGCAAAGTCTTAATAGCCTCTTCCATAACAATCAAGAGAAGCTTGGGGAGTTACTCATACCTAATTAAGCCTTGATTTTTTCTAAAACTTTTGCAGAATACATGACAGCAAACACTCCAGCTCTCATTTTTAATGTAATACAACAGAGGATCTACAACAGATTACAAAAACACAAAAGAAGCCCCGTGCGTGGTTTTTCATTAGCAACGTATGCAGCCTCTGAGAGCTGCAGGGTGTAAAAGCTGCCCAAAGTCACACAACAGAATTTTTCAGCTCAGTATTTTGAACAATCTCATGGAAGTCAGCTGTGCCCTAGTGCACTTACCCGGAAGAAAGAAAAGTATTTCCCAACGCTTCCTTTTTCTGACAGAGCTAGGAAACTGCCACCAGAGCACGCTGGCACCCAGCCCACCTGAGCCAGAGGGTAGGAGCCACAAGCGTGAGAAAGGGCACGTAACAATCAACTTCTCAAGCTCAAAAAAAGCAAAGCCATCCACTCCAGGCTTTTATCAACCCAAACGCCCATGCTGAGGTTTAAAATCCACTAACCTTGCTCATACATATTTATTTAAGCAGATGCTTACTGTAACCAGCTTCCAGCAGCAGCATGATCTGAGAAAGAGCCCCACACCTTCACGCTGCCTCACAGCACATCTGGGATACCTCCAGCCACATCCCCCGGGATGGCAAAGCCAGGGAGCAGAGGCTGCTCACCACCCCGCCGGTCACCACTGCCCTGGGGCAAGACAATTTTTATTAATTTTTTTTTACCTTTGGTCCAGAACAAAGAAGAAATAACTGAATGTGAAAAACCTTCACCCTCCTAAGTCCCAGGAGGGCCCTGGCTGTATATATGCCCTACATCATGTGGTGGGATTGACAGGGAGGGTGGTGGGGAATGAGGAGCACCTGCAGGCACCCCGCAGGATGCGACCCTTGCATTTGCCTTGCAAAATGCCCGTTAGCAGGGGTTGCTTGCACTTGCACTTAGTTGCCTTTACAGCCCTAAACCAATGTTCAAATTCCAGTGTCTGGGATGCTTTCTCAGAAACCACTTCCTGGCTCCTCTTCTGTAATTCGGGGTTAGCGAAGGAGTGGGCAAAGAACCATCATGTTTTTCACACAGTCACAAATCCCTGTCTCTTCGTGAGCTTGTTTTCCCTCGTCAGTCCTGGCCGCTGCTGGGTCCCCCCACCCCATGGCTCCTCGATCCGTGGAGCACCCTGAGACCGGGCTCGCCTTGCCCGTCCTGCCCTCGGGGCGTGGGACATCCTCGCTGCAGGTGCCCAGAGCACTGACTCCCAGAGGGTCTCTGCATCCGAGGGCTGGAAATGACGGTGAGACGCACAGTGGTTTGCACTCCCCCAGAAAGGCTCATGTAGCAGGAAAAATATATACAATTGATTTTTTATTAATAAAATGCAACAGTGGATGTACAGCAGGAGAGATACCTGTGTGTCTTAACACCGGCTTGCTGCGGGGCGACCTCCTGCCCTGCCCACACTTGAGCGACAAGTCGAGCAAGAGATTCTGTGATTCTGTGACTTCAGATTACAACAGGCTGCCCAGAGAAGCTGTGGCTGCCCCCTCCCTGTCAGTGTCTAAGGCCAGGCTGGATGGAGCTCTGAGCAACCTGATCTGGTGGAAGATGTCCCTGCTCATGGCAAGGGGGTTGGAACCAGGTGATCTTTAAGGTCCCTTCCAACCCAAGCCATTCTATGATTCTAAGGGCTCCCAGAGCAGCTCTCAGAGTCAGTGTCGCCTTCCCCATCCACTCCTGGGGGTAGGGGTTAAAAAATAAAGTGCGATTGCTGGCTAAGCCCAGGTAGTGGTCAGAAAGCAAAGCGTAAAGAAGTGGGAGAAAGCAGAGCAGGGCTGTGGCTGCAGCTGGCGGGGCTGGCAGCCTCACCGATGGCACCCTCTGCCAGGCTCTCCTCCAGGTCTTCCCGCTGCCTGGAAAGCTTGGTGATGTGCTGTGTACAGGGGGCTTGGCAGCGTTCTCAGCACTGACCAGGAAATACTCTTCCCATCCCTCTTCTTAAAGGAGCAGTAGTCTCTCTCCTACCCTCCAAATTTCAGCCCACGCAGTTAAATTTTGATAGCAGTAACAGGCATCAGGAAAAAATCAATTCTGCAAAGCAATGTTGGGTATGAGGAGGTGGGACCAGCTGTGCCCCAGTGTACGCCTGTGCCCCCAGGCACTTGCTAAAACGTCTCTGTCTCCTCCCAGCACCGTACAAATCACCACCAACTTCTGCAAAGCTCAGAGATGCACAGCCTCCCTCCCTCCCTCCGTCCTTCAGGCACAGAATGACACATGCCATGGAGAGAGCTGCTGGTGGCCATGCCGCCGGCCGTGGGTTCCCCAAGCGAGCACCATCCAGGGGCAATGGGCTGCAGACATGCAAAACTCACACGCTTCTGCGTCACCGGTTTGCAACAAATGCAGCCGCAGCCCGGGCTGAGGCACCACGAAAACGCTTGTGGAAGCGGGAACCAAGATTTGCCTAACCCAGTCCTTCGGAGACAGCCCCTCTGCGAACTTGAAAAGGAAGTGTTAGATAATATAAAAATACTCCAATGCAAAGCGTGATTGTATCACCCGGCTGGCTCCAGCCCTCCCTGCAGAAAATGCCACTGACACCATTTACTTTCTGCATCAGCAGACGGAAGGTGGGTCTCCCCGGGGCGGTTGCTGTTGCATCACTTGGTGCTTCTCAGCACCCCTCAGGCTCCAGCGCTTTCCAACAAAGGAAATTGTCCTCATGGGAGGGTACCACTCACCTCTACATCATTTTGGGGACATCTCCTCAAGGCAAGCGCTGCTGCTGGGCACCACGCCTGGCCTCAGCGCACCCACCAGCAGATCAGACGTGCCAGGACCAGCCTGGGAGGCGTGGCACCTCGCCCTGCTGGCAGCAGGCAGGGCCACCAAGGACCATACCTGCCAGAGACCTCCTCCTCCGGCTGGTTGTTCAGCTGTTGGGCTGTAAGACGAACCCCAGGAGGAGAAGGAAGGAAGAAGGAGCCCTGCCCACCCTGCCTGCCCCAGGCGTGCAGCCCCTGCTAAAGCCTCTGCTTCTCACTTGCAGCCGGACCAGTCCAGCCTGCTACTCCATGGCACAGGGCAGCCATTAATTAATATCTTTTGGTTTACCTTTGACCACAGAGATCTCAAGATCTCATTTCTGAGATGCTTCTGGCTTTGAGATAGACCATTTTTAACACAGAGTTGTTGCTGCTCACCTTTTAAAGAAGATAAAAGTCGTATTCCCAGCTGGCGCAGACCAGAGCCATCTTCCTGGCTGTAGGAGGGATCAGCTGCTCTACAGCCATGGAAACACCAGGATGAGGCGGGTTGATTTTGAATTATGTTTGAACCGCTTGTCTGCACCGCTCACTCGAGATCATTACGCCAGGGGAAAGTGCGTTAGATCAACCGAACCGGTTTCTGACAGCCGGCTCCCAGCGAAAGTTTCCTTCAGCTGCCCAGCAGTGCCCGCCGCGCCAGTTCTGCCTTTGGACTCGTCTCGCTGGGCGACTGCTCCGGCCCTGGGTGTCACCCGGGCACGCCATGTCCCTGCATGGCTCCCGCACCCGTGCCGAGGAGCCGCACCGCCGGGGGCCGTGGGCAGGCACGGAGGGAAGGGGCG